AACGTATTTATAAGTACTAATAACGAGTAGTTAGGTTTTAGTTTTTAGGGAGAACATTAGCTACTATTAGTTTAGTAATAAACTATTGTCTGCATGTTCTTCCAAAAACTAAACCACCTCATTATGCTTATAAATCGTTGTTTGCCAATTTATTACCATATTATCATAATATGCTTCCATACTCAAGTAAACATGCTATATACATATACATTGTATTAGAAATCCTTATGCTTTTTTTTTTTCGTTTAAATTTATTACGATTTTACTGAATGTATCAATGATGGTAAAATATGAAACTGTGAATTATTTAATTTCACTATATTTGCTTGCTGAGTTAACAAGGAAAAACTTGTTTAAGTTACGTCACGGAGGCTGTACACCCACCTTGACTCTTAATCAATTAAAACAGTTTATGCGAGCTCTCTTTTTCATAACTCTCACAATGTTACGTCATAACGAACGTAAACAAATACAAGCTTTTAATGCAGTGCAAGGCAGAGCAGAAGTGAAGATTGTCACAAGTGTTGTCAAAAAGCTTTGAGATACCCTGTGCCACAGCGATGGAATTGAAACCTATTATTTCTGCAGACCGTGCGGCACCTCACGTAGCTCGATCTAATCTTTATGAAAGAGTCAAGCCAAAATCTTGGATTTGATTAGACGTATCAACCACTCAGTCAAGTATTTACCGTATCATTTTACACAACATTCTTGCCCTTGTTCTATCCAAGCTGTGCTTTTCGACGTCAGAGTATCTTATTCCATGCTATATATTACTGTATGTTCCTTGGAATGAGCTACAGTTAGTAGTCACCGATTTCCCTTTAGCTATATAAACAGTTGCAAGTTTGATATTCAACATGCAATAAATACAAACTGTTAAACTACAAAACATAAACACACACACACAAATGTCTATTACTTGTGCTTATAAAGCTTTGCTATGCAAAACTAGCATCCTTTAAGGCACATCTTTAAAAGTTTTATTATTTTCAATAATAAAAGTAGTAACATAGCATATGAACAAGGGACCGTTTGGTTCTTTTCAAAGCTCTCCCTGCACACTGAACTCTGAGAAAAAGTAAAAACTTAAACCCATCCTTTATTTTTAAAGAAATTGTGAATTTTCTCTTTAAGATGTAGTAAAATATCATTCTCAACTACTGCTGACGGCAATTCGTTCCATAAGCCAATCGGCCTGTTGCGAAAATATAGCTTTCTGAACTGGAGCCTAGCATGTTTTTTTTTTTCAAAATCTTAAACTTGTGCCTTCTCATCTATTATTTTTAGAAAATAGCACAAAGAAATCAGAAGCTTTCATCCTATCAATTCCATGAATAATTTCGTAAGCTTAAATAATATCACCCCTTACCATTGGTTTCCCAAGAGAAAATGAGTTAAGAGAGTCAAACCTATTTCCAT